CAAATCAATGCACCAGGGTTAGCCACGCCATCTCTGACGGGTCTCTCTACAAAACCAGTGACGACGTCATCACATAGAACCAACACCGAAAATCAGGGAAAAAACGAGAAAAATTGACAACACAGATCAGATATAAATGTTTGTCCGTGCGCCACGGGTCGATGTCGCCCGCATGCTCCGGTGCCATTGCTCCATCCGGCGCCGCGGTAGTCAGCCCGAGCAAAACGCCACTCGACCTGCTCCGTCCGTACACGCTCTCGTCGCTGTCCTTCCCAGTCCGTTCCTCGCTTTCTCCCTCATTGCACTCAAGGTTCTTGGTCTGAAAAAAATAAAAATTCTCGCGCCGAATGGTCAACCAGCCTAGTTCAGCTCGTCGCCACCTGCTCCCTCCTCCTTTGATGGCGAAGCCAGGTTACTGAGGCAATACAGCTCCCTCTAGCAAACCTAGGGCCGTGTAGTGCCCGTCCACCTTTCTGATGGTGTCTGCCTCCGCGCACAAAAATGAGATGGGCATCACTGCCAACGCCGACGGCCCGAAAGGCCCGCGCATCTACATTTGCCCGCCTGACCCCATCAGTGCCGACCCAACTCCACCACCACACGCACGCCTCGCGGCGGATGCGCAGCAGCAAGAAGGCTTCGGTCATCCCTTGAGGGTGAGTCTAGCCCTGCTCGCCAGAAAGACCCCCCCCTTCGCTACAACCCATGTCTAAGCAAAAGCTTGTCGAGGAGCGAGGGGAAGAAGGGAGAGTATCCATGAGGAGGACATTATTCTTGGCACCACAAATTTGTCAACCATTGCCACAACAATCAATCATTGGTGGGATTTCCAGACTCATGGTGTTGGACGATGCAGAGCCACGTACACTTTCGGAGATACTTATTTCTTGAACGAGGGAGGCCGCAGCCGCTGCCTCTTATCCCGCATGCCGAAAGGGCCGAGAGAGATGACAGATGCTGCTGGTGATCGAGTGCGTATCTTCCGCATATCCCCACCCCTGTTGAGCGGAGGCTCCGCAAGGACAGCAGAGATAGATACAGCTGGCCCACACGCTCCTCGTTGACTTGGTCGCTGCCTTGCACACACGCATGCACCTCAGGAAGATTGTACTGATAGGTGCGGTCCAGCTTTCTTCCTCCTCGAGAAGAAGCAGCCGATGCTTCCGTTTTTTTCATCAGCAATCATCTGAAGAGCCGAAAAATAACCTCGTGTTGTTGCTTCTCCCCTCGTTCAAGAACCTTTTCCCTCGCCGTTTCGGTTTTCATTAAGGCCCTTTCCGCAGAACGGATGGACCCCTCCACGCAAGAGACTCCTGGTTCTTAGTTTGGACTTGATGGAGCCCAGAGAAGGAAGTAGTCGCCCGCCTTCTGTTGCGCGCACCTCATCTCACAATGGGGCTACATTCTTTGTTGCTGTTGATTGTTTTTTATGTGAGCATCGACCGGTCGGTGTATTTTACTTTTCTTCTGCTGTGCGTGCCTCTCTCTGCCACGGCGGATGATCCGCCAGTAATTTTTCCTGCACAGGTGCAATCAGCAACACGAACTGCCGCCTGCACTTTGTCTTTTGTTAACATTTCCTGTTCGCTGCGCGAAGGTATGTGTTGTAAAGTATTTGAAGTGTATTGGTGACAGCGGAGTGGAGCCTGTCTGCTGGGTTGGTGGTGGCAAAACAAGGTTGATTGCCGCAAGTTGGTTGCCGTTGTTTTTTTTTCTTCTTTGAAGCTCATGCGCGAGCGGGCCTTCAGAGGCGGAAGAACATTATTCATGACATCATTCGTCATCTTTTTGTTGTTTGACTCAACTTGTTTGTCTTGCAAATTCAAATAAAGAACACGTTTTCGGCGCTCCGAAGCACAAAGATCCGTTCCAACGCCCTCGTTCCGGCGGCCGAGGCGGATACGCTGTTGTTTTAATAAATAATCCCGAGCAGCACAAAACACGGATGTGTGAGTCGACCCCCTGGCACAACAATCTCCGCCAGCCTGAGATCATCACCGCACGGCACGATAATTTTTTAGCACACAGCAACGAGGGACTCGCACAAACAACCCTTCCTTCATGTAGGGGGAGAGCAGGGAGCGTTCTCCGCACATGTACCAGAACCGCAGGAATCGTCTCCGAGCGACAGATTCTAGCACGGACCGGTCCCAGGCTCAGGCAAACGCGACAGCACCCCACCCACCACCCAAGGACAGCATCAGTAAGGGCTGGTCACAGCGCCGACACCACTGTCACATGTGCTCCACAATGGCAATGATGTCGAGCTTCTCCCAAGCCCAGTTCAAAGTTGCCAGACGTCTGTTCCCGAGCCCGTTCTGCACGGCACTAGGAGCAGGAGGAGGGGGGGGGGGCTTCATGATCGCCAGCACATCAAGCGAACTGCAGTTGCACGTGATTGACAGGATTCGAGGTTGCCTGTACGGGGAGGTGCTTCGAGCTATGGAGGTTTCGCGCGGAGGTTTCTATGCTATCAAGGTACGCACGCTGTGTGTGTCCGCTCCGCTGACGTGCGCTGCTGTAAGTAGGCTGAAAATGATCTGTTTGACTGATAACCTACCGTTTATATCTTGGGACGACATCACACAGCAAGAGTCGCTTATTTTCTGCTCGAAGGGGGGCGCCGATAGGGTAGGATAGGATGGGTTGGCGTGAGGAAAGAACACCAATATCCAGCTCGCTCCTTAATCTCAAGACTCTGCCGTGCACGAGTTTGTTTGCTTCAGATGTGTACTCTGCGGGGTGGTGGAAATCAAACCTTAAACCATCGGAAGAGTAGGTGCGTGGTTGCGGACAAAATAGCTTGTGATTATTTTCCTCGCGGCGGGGCTAGCCGGAGGCACTTCAAAAGTAAAACATTGCGGCCGTGCGTGCTTCCGACCAGCCGTAACAGGTCTAGTCTCGCGCGCTGGCACGTGTTGGTGTTGACATGTACACGTTGCGTTATATATTTTATGCGAGGCCGTTTGTACCGTAGGCGGTCACTCACGTGTACCGCGCGATACATCAGTAGGCGGTGTCGAGAACGGGCGGCGGCACCGTTCTCCCTTTTTCTCGTCTCCGTTCCTACCTTTCCGCTTCGATCGCACTTAATGGTGCGAGCAAAAGATAATCGAGAGAGCGTGCCCAAAGAAAAAAGCAACGGACTCCAGGTCCAAAGCTCTCAAGCCAAGGAGGCTGGAGTGCTTGACTAAGCGGCGGTGCCGATCATTTTTTTTTTGAATGATTCCGAAATCAACGTGCCTGCAAACAAGTTTCTCTGCGGAGAGATTTTTCTCTGCGGCTGACAAAAGCACCGCAATTGCATCGCCTCATCATGTTGTTTTTGTTTTTGTTCGTTTTTCTCCCATCATTGGACTCTGTCGTCTACCCCTCTGGCCCCTATCCTCCACTTCTACCAGCTAGACGACCCAACCGGGGTCACATAGGAGGGGGGGGTTGGACACCCTCCTGCGGTTCCTGCCTGAGATATTTTTATCGCGAGAAGGGTACAGCAATCCCTTCCCGCGCGACTTGCGAAGTCGATCAAGTTTACGAACAACGAGCTTTGCAGCGCGTCGCTTCCAACCGAGACCAGGATTTAATAAGCGAGAAAAACTCACTCTGTCGGGACTCGAACCCATGACCTGGCCCTTAGCAGGCTGCGAGGTTACCCACTAGACCACCGGGGCGACCGGCCATGTGTGGGTCCACAGCAGTGCTTGAAGAGCGAAACGTTCCAGGCACCAGCCCCTATTTTCACCTCGCTCATGCCCCCCACGAAATCCTTTTTTTGTTTCTCCAGTTTGGGTATCCAAAGACACAATGCAGACACCGGTGCGGGTACGACGGATGAAAAGGGTGTGCGCCTCAATCGCGCTGCTGCTGTTGCACTGTACGGCAACAAGCAGCATAATTTGTAGTCTACAGCAAGCACTTGCAGTACTCAAATCCTACAAAGGCTGCGCGATCTGCGAGGAGATTACTACTACCGTAGTTCGCTGCCTCGCGTGCCTCACCTCACCCCGGGGGGCCCGCCGCCCACCCGCCACCGCCAACGTTGCGAAATATAGTCTATAGTTAACCAACCATGCGCCTGTCTGTCTGTCTGTCTCACGTTCGTGCGTAATGGCCTTCAGCAAATGAGCCTCGAGAGGATATCAAGCATGGCTGGACGTCATTCTTGTGAAGATCCGCTGCACGAGGTTGCCATTCTCCAGTTTTTGAAAGCTCATGGATCGCACCCGAACGTCATCGAAGTTGTCGAGGTGTGTGTCCAAAGCATGCCCGCATCCCGCTCTCTACTTGTCCCCCTCCCAGGCGGTTGAAAAAACTTCAGTATGAATACACATACATGGAACCCCCCCCCCCGTTTTGTGTTTGCATCAGTAGTCTACGCAGCAAAATGATTAGGCAAACGGATGGGATATAGTATTCAATCCGTGCTTTGGGGTTACGGTTAGGGTTAGGGATATGGTCTGAGCACCCCCTCCTCCCTATTCTTTTTCTAGATACTCTTAAAGTCCTGCGTAGGCGGTCCGTTTGTATCCTAGGCTACAAGCCTGGTGATGTCTGTTCTTCTCGAGCTTGTGTGTCCGAATCTCTCTGGAGTAGCCGTGGAAAGTGCAGAGTCGTGGGTGAACACAAAAAAAGAGAGACTTCCTGTCTGTGTGACCCCGGCTGGCACGTCAAACATACATCGAAAGGTGTAGGCTGGCGCCCAGAATACGTGGAATAGATGGGGCGAAAACACCTTCGAAGCAAATAAGAGGGCACATGCGGCGATTCAATGTGTATTCTACCGAACAACCACGATTACCACAGATAAGTATATGGTAAGGTGCCTCGGTGACTTTATGCGTGCGTGTATGTGTGTGTGCAGCCAACTGCATTATTCTATTCCACCGGTGTCTCAAGTTCGTTCATAGCTGCATTATCTTTGTTCGTCTCTTCAGCCAGCGTTCTTCCCACACCACTTTACCTTGAAATCGGCCTGCGTCGAGTACGTACATACGTGCCTCCTCAATCTCCATGCCGCCCCCCGACCGCCATCTTCTTTTAATCACCACGCCCCTCTAACCATTCGCAAAAAGCAACTAATGGGAGCTGAAACCTTGTACAATATTTGTTGCCGCAACGAGTCGAATTTATACCCACGTCATTGTAGGTGCTCCGAGACGAAGAGTACATCTATGTCGTCCTGCCGTTCTGCGACGGGGGGGAGCTGTATAGCCGAGTGTCCCACCCTAGCACAGGGCTAGGGCCGGCCGCCAGCACCGGGTTGAACGAGGACGTCGCGCGGCCGATTATTCGTGGCCTGCTTGCCGGCATGGCCTTCTTGCACGGGCACCAGATATGCCACAGGTATTTTTGCAGTCAGTATCAGGTTGCCGTAGTATCATCACGGTAGTGGTGAAAACGCGAAGTAGTTGAAATAATGCGGCGGAAAATGAAAATTTAGGAGCGCGAGAGAGCCAGAGGAGAGCAAAGCACCTTAACCGTGTCATTAGAAGGCGAAGCTCTGAAAACTTTTGTAGTTGCGCAAAGGACTAAATGCACTAAAGATCTGAACGGACGAACTTACTACATGGTCCGTGCCGTACTTCACGATGACAATCGTTACAGTCCGCTAGGACCGTTCATCGTGCTACAAAGAAGCCTGCCGTCTCGTTCCCCGCCGCCGTTGAAAATCACGGGGCGCATGTTTGCAACTTCACCACAACAACACCCCCGCCCCACCCATGTTTCGCCCCCCCCCGCCCCCAAGGGACGTGAGCCTCGAGAACATCGTCCTGACCGTGTCCGGTGAGGTCAAGATCATCGACTTCGGCTTGGCGCTCAGGTCCGGACAGCACCGGCCGCAAGGCCGCACGGCCCAATTCGACGGTGACAACCAGCTCGACGTGCGCAGCATCTCGCCTACGGGGCATTTCGGGAAGAAGAACTACAGTAAGTAGTGCGATAGGGCATACCGTAGGTGACACAAGATACCGCACCCCCTGAACCGATTTTCAAAGCTCGATTTCTCCACAACGAAGAGTATTCGCAGATCATGTGTAGAGATTTCGGAAAGCTTTCGATGGGACGGCTTCAACGCCGCCATTTTCGACACCGCCGCTAGTTTCTCCTGGAGTAGTCGAGTTTTGAAACATCGGTCCGGGTGTGTGGTATCTTGTGTCATGTCACCTACGGTATACAACACATACACGTATGTATGGCCTCGAAAGAACTCGTTGTCGTGCGGCCAGGTAATGTGTGTTATGTTGTACCCTCGGTGTTTGTTTGTTAATTCTGCTGCAAGCCTTGTTCTTTCTTTGCCTTGTTGCCGAGTCCACCCCCATCGCGAAACCTAACCTGTTCTGATCTCTTTTCTGCTGCTCCAAATTTTCCAAGTGTCCCCGGAAGTAGCGATGAACGAGGAGGACTACAATGGGTTCGCTGTGGACGTCTGGGCTCTGGGGGTCGTCATATTTATGTAAGAGGGAGAGAGTTTGAGAGCCGGGGGGGGGGGGTTG